CCTTTGCTGATATAGGAACCAATGCAAGAAACATCAGCTGAGATGAAAACATTATTACTCATCTGTTTGCCATACCATGTCATTTTTTCTCTAGAGGACATTTTCCAACACCTTACATATAGGATAAGAGATTTTTATGTTCATCCAACATTTCAAGGCAAACTCAAAAAAGAGAAACAATTTAGTCTTAGCACATAGTTTCCAACACTCTAAAAGCAGATGAATTTATTTTCCTAACCTTTCTGTGTTTGTAATGGAAAACAACTTTTCTGCTACTATAATATAATCCATTTTTTGACCATTTGGCCATGTATTAACATTTTTCTGACACTGGAGACCTTTCTCCACTCCTTATTCAACAGTCCTTGTTCCTGTACAATCTATTTTAGTAATGCAAAACCTGTAAGGAACTTGGGGCTAAGCATCTGCAGTTGCTTTAGTTTGAAGGTTGTACTAATCTCCGGGAATATGCTGACATCATTCACTTCAGATATAACCCCTGCATAAGTATGATGGAAAAAGGTTTCACATAAATACATGCTGAAAAGAGAAAACAAGTTTTCAAAAAATCTTGGGAGGAGAATGCATTCTGAAGGTGTTGAGAGGGAAAAAAAGAAACAAGTTAACTGAAACATTGCATAACTAAATGATTCATACAATAGAGATCATGTCAACAAAGACTGTGCTTGTAAAATTAAAAGCCATTTCAATTCATGTTCACTTAACTAAGATTATGCAAAGTGTACCATTAAAGCCCTTTCTATTGTGGTCTATAATTTATAATATCATAATGCCTAGGAGTCCTAGTCACATAGTAAAGCACCACTGTGCACCTCGTTGTGCAGCCAGGGAAAGAAACTGTATTTTAACACTGCCTCTGATAAATGTATGTTCTTGAAGTATGGATAGATACTAACCAATTAAAGTACACAAACTTTTAGGAGAGGTGTGTTAGGCAATCACCTCACATAGGAACCTAGGAATTACTATATTCAACCAAACCAAGAGTACACTAGTTTGCTTCCGGAAATAGTGCTGCATGACCTAGCAAATGGTATAAGAATCAAAAAACAAAGCCCTTCAAATTTAAGAAATTAATAACTATGCAATTTTCCGTACAGCCATATTATTTCCATATTTACTTTGTCTGACCTCCTGTCAATACTTTGACATTAGCACATTCAGTTCTGTGCTGTTGTTTTACCTATTGTTCCTTTCTTTGTTATCTGCTTACATGTATAACATTCATGCTTAGGGCATGCACCGCGGGTGCCCAGCCCCCCCGGCATGCACTGCGGGCACCTGCCCCCCCCCCGGGGCAGCCCCTGGGCACCCGGCCCCAAAGGGGGAGCTTTGCCAGCGAGGACTGCGCCCTCGTGGGAGAGAAGAGGGAGAACCTCGGAGCACACAGAAGTTTGGTAGTCCGTTTTGGGGGAGGGGTGGAATGTTGGGTGGGCTGTGGGGGTCCTCAGGCTGGCAGGAGGCCGGGCAGGGCAGTCCCATATGGAGTGTATGGTGTGTTGCGGGTGAGCAGTGCGTGGGAAGATATGTGGTAACATGATGGGGGGAGGATAAGGTCAGGGTGGATAATGGGTTCATCTAAGGGGTTGGGGGGGTCTCGACCAGGCTGGGGCCTTGGGAAATACCCATGGCCCAGGTGGGTGCAGGGGCTGGAACGATTTATTTTTGGCTCACCTGCGGCTACTGCCCAGGTTCGGTTTGTCTTGGATATATTTACTGTGTCCTGAATGGATGGTCAGGACAAAGGGATGTTCCTGGGTATTTCCCTGAGATTGGTGGCAGAAAAGTAGGGGGGCGAATGGCTTGCCCCAATCCGCTTTAGTGGAAAGAAGTCTGTGTACCCCTTTGCAGTTGCGAGCTATGCTGTTGATGGTACATGCCTCGACAGGGTCTCCCATGCCAGATAGGTCAAAACTGCAGGGTCAGACACAATATATCCATGGGCAGGATGAGCCCGCTAGCCTTCTGGCAGTCATCCTAGGAGAAGGACAGCTCTAATCCCAAACCCGGGCAGATGGAGCTCGTTTAGCCCCGTACGGCCATCCATCTAAGAGAAGGACACTCTAATCAAACCCACATCCTGAAGACCTCGCTGCCACTGTCCAAGTTCGTTCGGCCCTGGCAGATGAATCTTAGGATTAAAGGGTGGGCCCAGTTCCGTGCATACTGCACCTCACCTAAAAAATCCATTGCGCAGGCTTGAAGTCTTTACCCACATGCAAAAAACCCTGTACCGACAGGTAAGGATTGAAACGGCAGGTGAAAGGTGCACTGGAAGCCGCAGACCCAACCCTGCATGCAGGCGTTTCAGGATATTGGTTATTTGAGACCGACTGGAGATGACAGTCTCTTGGGGCAACACCCTGAACGACCAAGCAGCCTTTTCAAGGACAGCACTGCTTGCTCCACTCGGAGAGGGGCCTAGAAAAGGTGGCCTAAACAAAGCTCATCTCCACATTTCACCCAGTTGGTTAATTGCAGGCTGACGACATCTTCTACTAATGCGGTCACACAAAGATCAAGAGACAAAGGCACGCACCTGCCTCCAAAGGTGTACCTAAATTAACTCTAGCATGTTGGAACATCAGAACCATGCTTGATTCTGCGAATAGTGGATGCCCTGAGCGTCCTAATCGCCCACAAACTATCACATCTCAACACTGACATTGCTGCTCTCAGTGAAGTTCGCCTTCACGAGGAAGGCAGCCTCAGAGAACATGGTGCCAGTTACACACCCTTTTGATCAGGTAAACCCAGAACTGAAAAGCATCTCTCAGGAGTTGGCTTCATGATCAAAAACTCTATTGTTCCTAAACTCGAAAATCTGCCGACTGGTCATTCTGACCGCATTATCTCCCTATGCCTTCCACTACACAACAAGCAACATGTTATCCTCTTTAGTATATATGCTCCAACTCTACCAGCTGACCCTGCCGAAAAAGATAAATTTTACACTGACCTGTGCCACCTTACCCAAAAGGTTCCTGCAGATGATAAGACCATTATCCTTGGTGATTTCAATACCAGAGTAGGAAAGACCTTTGAATCCTGGAAAGGAGTATTAGGCAAGCATGGTGTTGGAAACTGCAACTATAATGGTCGCCTTCTGCTAGAATTCTGTGCCGAGCAACAGCTCACCATCACTAATATTATCTTTCAACAGAAAAATAGCCTGAAGACAACCTGGATGCATCCTAGATCTAAGCATTGGCATCTCATTGATTATGTCATGGTGCGACGGAGAGATGTTCGCCATGTCCACCATACCCGCGTGATGCCTAGTGCAGAATGCCAAACAGACCATCAGCTTGTGCGCTGTAAACTTAACTTCAATCTTAAGTTCAAACCTAAAAGGGGTGGTATCCCAAGGAGGAGACTCCAAGTTAACAATCTCCAATCAGCCACAGTGAGAGACAGATTCCAGGCAAATCTTCAAACTAGGCTCGAAAATCATTCTATAGATTCTATAGATTCCTCTCCGGAAACACTCTGGCACCATATTAAAACCAGCATCCAGCAGTCCTCTGAAGAATCCTTAGGGTTCTCCTTCAAGAAGAACAAGGACTGATGAAAACAATCAAGATATCCAGGAATTGTTGAGGAAGAAGAGAACTGCTCATCAAGCTCACCTTGCACTGCCATCCTGTCATGTAAGAAAAGCAGCCTTTCGTCTTGCATGCAGCAAGCTCCAACAGAAACTCCATGACATCCAGAATGAGTGGTGGATCAATCTAGCAGAAAAAAACAATTATGCGCAGATAAAAGTGATCACAAATGATTCTATGAGGTCTTGAAAACAGCATACGGGCCTACATACCAGGTCCAAAGCCCTCCACTCAGCGCTGATGGTCAAACGCTTCTAACAGATAAAACCTCCATTCTGACTCGTTGGTCTGAACACTTTCAGACTCTCTTCAGTACCAACTGTGTAGTTCAAGACTCAGCAATTCAGTCCATCTCACAACAACCAGTGAAGAATGAATTGGATATTGCCCCTGCTTTGGGAGAAACCTGCCATACAGCAGGTGAAAATTGGCAAGGCAGCTGGGGTTGATGGAATTCCACCTGAAATCTGGAAACATGGGGGCCTTGCACTCCATGTTAAATTTCACGAGTTTGTGGGGCACTGTTGGGAACTAGGCGAACTACCATCAGACCTTTGTAGTTCAGTCATCATCACTTTGTATAAGAAGAAAGGAATTAAATCAGACTGTTCAAATTACCGTGGTATTACTCTGCTCTCCATTGCTGGCAAAATTCTGGTAAGAATACTTTTGAACGGATTAATACCCGCTATAGCAGAAGGAATTCTACCTGAAAGCCAATGTGGTTTTAGAGCCAACAGAAGTACCACAGACATGGTATTTGTTCTCAGACAACTGCAAGAAAAGTGTAGGGAACAGAATAAAGGTCTCTTTATAACCTTTGCTGACCTCACCAAGGCGTTCGATACTGTGAGCAGAAAAGGTCTATGGCAGATTTTGGAACGTTTAGGATGTCCCCCCAAGTTCCTTAAAATTATCATCTCGCTTCATAAGGATCAGTGTGGCCAAGTCAGATATGGCAATGCACTTTCTGAGCCCTTTCTAATAACCAATGGTGTGAAACAAGGCTGTGTTCTTGCACCAACCCTATTCACAATCTTTTTCAGCATGATGCTCCAAAGGGCCACGGCAGACCTCGATGATCAGGACGGTATCTACATCCCATACTGTACTGATG